CTAAAAATAGAAATGCTAATTAATGATCCTCCCTTATGATTTATTATGGTGCAACAATTAAGAATTTACAAATTTGACTAAATATTTTTAATTTCACTAGTCAAATGCAATGTATTTTGGAGAAAGAAAAAAACTTCGGCAGGAAAATGCACTGATTGACATTGACGCTCAGGTGAAAATTGTACATAATTTTAAATGAACATTTGGCTTATAAGTCTCAGTTGCAAGGCTTTTATAGCAGTCTTTTCATAGTTAATATTTTTTTTATAAAAGATACACATATCCTTTAAATAATATATTCACTTCCAATGTACCTACTTATTGAAAGGCATTAGCTTTCATATTACGGTTTCCCTCTCAAAATATTGTTGAAATGTTCCTAAAACATTTGATCCACAGCTTTTGGAAACTAGCCATCTAAAACATAAAAAAGTTCCATACAAAGACCTGATAAAGGGAGACAATCTGCCAGCATATGTTGATAGACATCACCGAGAGGCAAGCCATAGAATTTAAGACTTAGAATAGTTTTATTTATAGATTTTGACAGTTGTGATAACTAATTATTTTTTTTTTTAATTATCATTTTATTTGTTGTTACAGAATTTTATAATAAATGAAAATTTAAAATACTGCTATGAGCTGACAGCTGAAGAAATTTTAAGGATTTTTTTGATGAACTGAAAGTTTACTTCAGTAAAGAGCAATTTGTGTTTTACAAATATGTGTATTGTATTAATATATAAATATATAATTCATGGTGTTTATAAATGTCTTGAGTCAATAACTTCTTAAAAAGAATAAAACTCATCCATAAAAAAAAGAGTGCTACCTAATGTTTAATATGACCCCACTATCATTACCATGAATGAATGATTTAAATCTGAATCACTATTTAGGAACAAACTTTTAAATTGAAATAAACTTAAATAATTGAGACTAGAAATTTAATTTTGTTAGGATTATATTTTCTTTATTAAGAAGTGAGGAAATAAAGAAATATGACCAAAAATGAAAGTAAGGGAGATGAAAGAAAAATCCATTTCAGAACTTTAAAATTTTTAACTCATTTACGTCATTTCTAAACGCTTTTACTTTCAAACACTTCCATCCTCCTGTTTTACATTACGAAATTACTAGTAGGCCTATAGATAAATAAATTATTTTGAAATGAGATTCATATTTTCATCCTTAGCACCACCTGCCTGATGAAGAATTCACAAAAGTGATGAAAATGCCAAGAACAGAATTCTATCAGTTACCTCAATGGAAGCAAAGCCAAATCCTAAAATCTGCTAGACTATTTTAAAATATGAATTCCCAAGTAAAAAAATTTAATAAAAATAAATAACATCTCAATTTTGAAGTTGTTATACAGTACATCCAAAATTGATTTCAAGTATATTTCAGTTTATGCCTTATTTTATGTTACATTTAATTTAATTTAAATTGCATATATTTATGCCACATTTTATTTCAATGAGAAAAGCTGAATAATTTTTTTTTTCAATTTTACTAGTTTCACACAAGCATTACTGAATATATCTAAATATGAAAGAAAGGGATATTATCACAAATAATAATTCTCTGGGTATGTGCGTGTGGCTGTTAAAAAAAAAGTCCCAGAAGTTAGAGCTGTTTGGTATTCTTATTAAGTGCATTACTTGAATGTATGTTTTTTCAAGTAACTTTAGTAAATGGGAAGTTCACCATTGATGACGACATTGTTTCTAGATAATTTAAATCCTTTACCTCATTAGTCATTGTTATACATTGTAAAAAGTATCCATTTTTTTTTATTTTTCAAGAGAGAGTCCCAAAAACATTATGCCAAACTGAGTTTTGTATTGCATGGTTGTAAAGGGCACAGTGTGTAATTTGAACATAACTCCACATGCATAGTGGGCACATTATATATCTTTTTGAAATTAAAATCCTACTTTCCAGTAATCATACACCAATCCTGAGACAAGAAAGTTATGTTTATTTTGTTCATTTAATAATACTATGTGAATATATTGTGTATGAATACCGGTAATAATTTGACAATTATTAATTAACCTATGAACCAGTTGTTAGAACATTCATAAAATAAAAGTTCTTTTCCACCACAAAACTAAACTCTATGCTGTGATAAGAATTCAGTGCATTAGCATATATCAAATTTTACAATATTTAGCGACAATCTTACGGTATAAACAATTATTTCATGAATTTTAAAAAAAATAGGATCACACTATAAAATTTAGAAGTATTGGATTTACATATAACTTTACATAACATGATCCTAATAAAAAAACATTCATTAAATATTTAATCTTGATCAAGCAAAACTATAGGCCTACATATATAAATCTAGTGTTTTTTGTTTCATACTTCAATTTTATTAAACCATTTAAAACCATGACTAGCCATAGGTATGTAAGTAAGTTTAGATTCTTTTATTTTTATGCATTTTAAATTTATTCAATCATCAACTCATTTTAAACTTTTCCCAGGTACCAAAAAAATATATATTACATTATTTTTACTAAATACTTGTAAAAATGAGATATTTTAAATATAAAGACATGTATTATAGCTAACTGATATATTGTACGGTCTGGTTAACATGCCGGTCAGCTACTTCAAATGATTTTCCAGACATGTTAAACAGTTCTCAAAGGCATATTATTATTATTTATTATGCTTTGTCTAGACCTGGGGTGGCCAACCCAGATGGTCACTGCCATTTTGATAACGAGTCAACGATTTTCATATCATTACATTATTTACACCGAATATATATTAATATTTATTTTAATGCACATAATTTTCAGCTGCTTTGACACATACATTGCGACACAAACATGAATTGTATAGATTAGATTGAGATAAAACTCGTTTTTTAAAATAATTTTGTGATTTCAAATGCACATTAATATCATTTGTGATACATTTAACGTTCACCAAGTTGCAATATTTAACATGCAAGGCCACATGGGGCCCACAGGGTAGCCATCCCTGGTCTAGACTTTCCCCTTGTCACCTAAGTTGAATATGTTTACTTCTCACCATTGTAACATGTTTACTTCTGTTTAAAAATGATATTAAAATTACACTTCATAAATAAAGTGACTTGAATTTTCATCTTTTACAAATAAGATATTTGAAATAGCTTGGCTGAGAATTTATTTATTTATTTATTTATTTAGGCATTTTTATATAGCGCTTATCATAAAGCTCTAAGCGCTTTACAATTATTAAAACATGTAAACTAAGTAAATACAAATGAGACACTAGGATAGTAACTACTATTCTATAGAAACAATGAAAATGGCTATAAAAAGAGGACACTTTGACACTTCAGGATTAAGCCGAAACAGAAAATTAGGTAGGGCAACGAGGGTGCATCACAGGTCATAGGCGGACCTAAACAGATGAGTTTTAAGGGACTTTTTGAAACTGGACGAGGTTACACTAGGATAGTAACTACTATTTTTATAGTTCTAGACAAAACTATGAATTCACCCAGGATAAAACTAGAATTACTTCTCTTCAAGTCTGGTCCAAAAATATAGGAAATGAGTTAATTTTATCTAACAATAGCAAATAAAAATAATAATTTCAATAAGTTCAGTATTCTCTTTTTTTATCTGTTGTTTTTTGTTTATTTTTTTAATTACCCCCAAGAAAGCAAAGAACTGTATTAATCTATAATTTGTAAAACTTTACTAATGTTAGTCCTTTACTTAATAAAGACTAGACTAGTTTTGAAATGAGAGAAACAAAAAAAAAAACAGGAGACACATTGAAAAGCAATAAAACAACTTCAAAGAGGTTCAATCTTGTAATCAAAATTCAAACAGAAACTTAATAAAAAGTGTAAACCATTTGAAATCTGATAATTGTATATTTTATTTAAACAGCATAACATGATAAATTCTACCAATAAGCAGCTCTAATGAATTGGGTCAGAAGCTGCAAAATTTTGTAAACTGTTGCTGTGAAAAAAATTATCAAAAAATTTATAAATAATATAAAAGAAATAATTCCTGACATTGACAATGAACTTCCTGCTAAACCTTAAGTTATTCAAAGCATCATTACAAACTATTTCATGAAAAACAAAACATGATTTGTATGCTCAAGATCCCTTTTAAATAGTATTCGCAGTGCAACTCACTCATCTTTGTAGGGCATTTATCATGAAACTAGGATAGCTACTAAATAGATACACAAGAATATTAAGAGCTATGGGAATCTAGCGTTCAAGAAAAACTATGTACTTAATCAAATTACTTTAAAAGCACTTTCTCATTCTTTAAATGCAGTGATGAAAAAAAAAAGTTAGCTGCCACAACATACGTATTTACAAAAGTGTTTAGGTATCTAGTTTTAGTGCATGCCGCTAACAAAGAGCTTTTCCTGAAAGAAAGAAATTCTTTGTGCTTAAATTAAGTTTAAATACATCTTTCATAAGGGAAATTAATTCACCTTCTATATTCACGATGGCGGTGGCCTGGAAAAAGTTTGAGAAACATTGATACTCTTACAATTATTTCTATGGCTAAAACTTACATGTCAGGTCATTTTATGGTAAAGGATGAAAATATTTTAACTGAACTTTAATCAACTAAATAGTCAGACTTAAATTTAATTTTTAGGCCTATGGCAACTGGAAACTTAATGAAAATCTAGGTGCAAACATGTATTTAGGTTTCTATATACCGGTAGTGTATATTTTTATAGGTTTGTATAAATAGGTTAAAAAAATAGCAAATGAAATTCACTTTATGGTGGTGACCAGGAATTTAATTTAATACAACTGTATTTGTTACAAACTTGTCATAAAATCAATCTCAGTCACATTTCTTAGTAATTATCAATGACATTTTAAAATACAGACATCATTTAAACAAATTGAAATGTGGATTCTGGAATTTTAAAAAAAAAGGAAGTACAATGAAAACTATGAATTTTAATTTCAAGGATGTAATTAAGGAAACTTTTAGTACACCAGGAAATATAAATGTGTGTATATAATTACAAGAAGTGTTTTGATTTCATATCTTTTATTCATAATTTAATCAGATTTAATGGACATTAAAGAACATTAAAAATTACTTTATTAACTAACCGTTTTTATCTAAAAATATTCCAGAGTTCTAGACAAAACTATGATTTGTTATTCAATCCTTTACTTTTTTAATCTAAACCGAATTAGCTTCACATTTGCTCAGTTAAAAACTCTGATAATTGATAGGTATATAAAATTAAAAATTTGACTGCAATATAATTGTTAAATTGTATTATTTTGTGAAATAATTTACATGATGGTAACTTTTTATAAAGCATCTCCTTATCTGCCCATATTGGCTTGGGCCACAAATAAAAACACATTTCCTAGTCTAAAATATGGTAATACCGGGTAGTGATATGATTGAGCACTAAATTAAAGGAAAAATCCAGTAGAGAAAATGATTCATGTTAAAATTAGAATTAAAACTAACCAGACTTCAGTTAAAGAATAAAGCAGCAATATATAAATATTGTTTTAAGAGACTAATAAACGTTCAAACTAATGATTATTTTAAAATGCAAATTTAAAACATCAGTAAGGTTAAGAAAATGTAAAAATAGAAATGGTTTAACTGTTGTTGGGATATAAAGAAAAAAAAACCAACAGAAATTTAAAGGAGTTCCAGTATTTTAAAAAAATTGACAGCTTTTTCTTAAATAACTGGAACAATTTATGTTATTGCTCTGGACAGCAAAAGGGCAACCTTGCAATAAATATAATTTAATATTAAATGATAGTGTGATTTATGAAAAATGTCTGTCTTTTATTACTCTTTGTCAGCCTGAGAAACTAGAAGAATGAATTTATCTCCTCACCTTACTTGCTTTTTCTGATCATTTAAACAGTTTGCCAATGAACAGTGCTAGCAATGTCACACCAACAGTGCACCAGAGGTACTTATGTCTATGAATGGTATTGAAGTTTTTGCACTGCACTCTGTCCCAAATTATCAAATCAAGTGTCAGATCCAATATAAATTTTATTTTAAAGTTTTTTCCCAACTTTAATTTCAATACATATATGTACATCTTATTTACATATAAGTTTATTTGCTACTTGCAAAATGATTCATCATAAGTTAAATCAGTTTAAACAATGTTTTATAGCCGATCATCAAGAAGGAATAGAAAAGCAGATTTTTCTCTTGTGGGTTTGTGTTGCTGCTTGTCAGAAACTCAGTCAAAGGAATATTAGTGTGCAATATTCTTTATTCAAATCCACTGAACTTAATGTACAGATTGCTCTTTTATGTTGAATCTGTGTAATGGCATTTCAAGACTTTTACAGTCCAGTTTTAATTAAGATTACTGAAAGTCTTCTTGGGTCTCAAAATGGTCTAGATAAAATTTGGCTGATGTCTCTGGTATTTACCAGAGTATTGAAGCTCACTTTGAAAACACGCAGAATCCGTTGAAATACATACAAGTCATAGACTGATCTTGCAGTGTTAGTCCTGTCAAAGGGTTCTGGAATATAGTAAATGAGCTCAATGCAAAATAAATTTTAGTTATATGGTCTTCTTAACATTAAACTAATATATGAGCAGCCATTTTAAAAATCCATGTATAGCAGGCAATGACTAATTTTTTTGTCAAGATGCAGTACAATTTATGTTTACATGGCTTCATTTGGGCTGATTTCATGCCTGTCAGGCTCAAAACTTGTATTTTATTTTCTCCTCCTTTTTCTTTATTTTTTTAACATATGTATTATGGTGAAAATACCATTAATTTATTACTTTTGGGTTGGGACATAAATTCATTTTTACCGTACTACAAGTAAGTTTTGTGAATTTATATGCTGTTCTGGAACACAGCTGAGGTCAATCAGCCATGAAGCCAGGTAACGTCTATTAAAACTTCATGAAACCCATGGACTACAGGGCTTGTGGGAAATGAATTGCCTTGGAGGCTACTTTATTGACAACAAAAATATTTTTAAAAATTAAACTAACAATTGACCACTTAGTCACAAAATCAAGCTAAAGTTTAAATAAATATTTTTTAGCCCCTTTGACCACAAATGTTGTACAATAGTTTACACAATTCAATATTTTTTTCGTTTCAATACAACCATGTATGGTAATGTAAAGATTTTTTTTCCCTACATTTCAACCTTTGATTTAAAAGATATTTTATGCTTTTTAGCAAAATGGTATTGATTGTTATAGAAAAAAACAGGATGTTTTGATCAACTATATTTTGAGATTAGAAATATGATGTTTTACAGCTCTGGTATAATAACTCTATGTGTAATAATGGGACGTTAACTAAACCTATTGTAGTTTCTCACCTTCAATGTTTAAATGTTTCCACTGCATTGTATTGTCCCTGTCATAGATCTCATGTCGACCAATGGTCCTACCCAATCGAACAGATATAACTTGTGACTCATAGCTGATATTTGGAGTAAAAAACGATAACACTGAGCAGTCAAACAACTTGAGCTTAAGTTAAGGATGTTAGAACAACAAAACTAACAACACTGAGCGGTCCAACAACTTGAGCTTAAGTTTCGGATGTTAGATCAAGCACCCAGAAATATTTTACTTTCTTTCCCATAGCATAATGTGCAATTAATAAATCTCTATGACCATTGAACTATCAATTAATCCAAAATAAATTATCCAAAGATCTTCTGTCTCTTTCATCTATGAGTGTGATTTAGCAGTCATTTAAACAAAACAATGGTAGTTAAAGTTAAATACAAAACATGATAAATGATATATTGTTCATTCAATAATCTATTAAATTAATTTTTTTTAAAACTTGTCTCAAGTTTAACATACACTTCATGTTTAACATACACTTCATGTTTAACATACACTTCATGTTTAACATACACTTCATGTTTAACATACACTTCATGTTTAACATACACTTCATGTTTAACATACACTTCATGTTTAACATACACTTCATGTTTAACATACCAAAAAATATTTGAGTAGTAGTTCAAAAAGCCCAAAAAGAGTTCTCCTAGAGTTGCGACGTTTTTGGAAGCAAACTTCACATTATCAGGCTCAAAATTCAATGACAATCTGCAAACATCTGCTTGTATACTAAAAAGATGCTGAAAAATTGTTTTTAAGAAAAACTTCACATAAATACAATATTTTTAATTACTGTGTTTTTTTTGTTGTTTTTTTCTTCTTTTTTTTTAAAAACAAACTTTGGGAAAAAAAACTCTTTACCTGTAATTAATCAATAAAAGTTTCTATAATTTTAGAACTTGCCAATCATTCTCCAGTAATATTAAGTCCAAGTATTCAGTTTAAAAATGTATAAATTCATAGAAATAAAATGGTATCTATCCCACTAATTAAGTTTTGATTAATTAGTAGACAGATGTACACACAATTAAAAATGTTGGATAGGTGAAGTTGAATACTGTCTGTCTGCCACTTGAGAAAATGTAAACCAATAAGATTATTACAACTCACAGGTTTCAAAGTCTGTAAACATGGTAACACTGCAGGGATGACGCCAGCTTAAATTGAATAGACAGAAACAATGGTTAGAAAACTGAAGTATCTTAAATTAAATAAAACAAAGAATCGATTTAAATGAAAGCATACGATTTTTAAAATTTCCATTTTTTCAAAGGAAAGAGCTTTTTCTTATTATATCTTGATGACTTTTCATTAATTTAAATGTAAAGATATTAAGTACACAGTTGATGAATATTGACAAAATTTAAATGTTTCCACAAGGAATCTTTGAGTAGAGAAAACTTGTAGATAATTTTTATTTTATTTGAAAGCAGAAAAAAAATCCCTCACCTTGCAGGTAGTGAATCAGCATCAGCGTGAGTGAATAACTAGAAATAGTTTTCTTGCTGGCATCATTGATGTCATGAAACCTTGCCCATTTTTTAATAAATAGCATTAAAGGTCGAACTCGCCAGTCCACTTAAATATGAAATTTGAAAACATTAGCTTAATTTTGGGAAAAAGAAAAGAGCAAGAGGTATTATGTGAGCTTTAGCCATATAACCTAAATTTTGTAATCGATATCTTGCTGAATTCTATTTATTTAGTTAATTTTATAACATTTCAACAACATCACAATATAATACCTTGCTGATTAATTTAATTACTTACTGTAAGCATAGTAACGAAGCAGATGTGTATTTCTTACACCGACAGTGTTGTTAATATTCAGATCACACTCTACTCCTCTTTGCAAAGAAAATTTTTAAAGATATTTTTTTTAAAGTGATTACAAAAATGAACTATTGTAAAAATTTCATAAAAGAAATATAGTAAGAAAAAAAAATCTCAAACTATCCGTTATGGACAATACTCATAGTCCAAAAAAATGCAATGCAAACATTTTTAAAAAATGCATAATTTTCTTGACCTATTGCATATTTATCAGTCTATACACCCTGTGTTAACTCGTGTGGTGAAAAGTTTCTAAAATAAAACTTACGATACTGCATCAAAGAACTTGAAAATTGGAACTTTTGCCTTTATTACTTGTGGAGTTCTTACAAAGGCTGAAAGTGTTATGTGGAAGAGAAATAAACAATAGCATTGATATTATTAATTTATTTGCAAATATCATAGCAAATGTAATACATTTATAGATGGCCCCTAACTAGGTACTTTGACACACATTTTAAATATTGTCCAATAGCCACAAATGATACACCATTTTAAAGGGCTCGCTATAAGCTTTGCAAAAACACCAATTTCATCTTTCTATCTTTTATGGAAAAAAATTTATGATTTTTTTGGTGAATTTTTTAACCCCTTTATTTATCTTTGTATTTAACGAAAAAAACTTGTGACCAACTTTCCACATTTCTGCTTTATTTTGTCCACAACTTTTTTATTTTAAAAGATAATGCTACCAAACTTTCAGGAGACATTCTCAATGCAATATACAACACAATAAACAACAAAACTTTTATATAACATCAAGACTTTTATTTTTTTATATATTTAATCGAGGGTATGTTCAGAAAAAAGTGAACAGAAAAATTGGGAAAATCATTATTTATACAGGAAAAATTGAAAAAAATAACATGTTTATTGAATTTTAACTAATTTTATTATGCTTGTGTTAAATTTTAAATCATTATATTTATAAAAAGGTAAGTAGTCTTTTTTTATATATAAAATTGAACGCATGTAATTATATATAACAAATACTAATATCACCCATAAAACTAATTACAAGCATACCCTTATCGGAGTATGTCATTAAATATTAAAAGGTAATGGGGATCTTCTGCCTGCCATTTTCCGGGTAGAATGCCCTACAGTGACTTCTTTGTCTTGTTGATGAAACCCACACATTTTTCCTTCATAAACTTTGTCGCCGCCATCTGCATCCAAACATTCCGCCTTATTGGATATGGGCCATGGAAGGAATTCCAAAGTTTGCAACAGAAATGTAAAATTTTCTCTTCCACCCAAAAGAAGCCTAACATTAAATACTAATCATAATTCTGAATCTATACAATTTTTAGTTTCTTTTTAATATTATTCAAGTGATGTTTTTATTAAATTTATTTCCTTTTTTTGTTTTGTTTATTTAATTAGAAATATATTATTGTTGATATAAATGTTAACATTTTCTTATGCCTCTGTCCTAGTTTGATATAATTACTATGATGATGTAGAGTCTTATTTATTTATTTATTTTAATAAACTTGTTATAGACTAATTCATAGGTTATCTAATTTTAATTTTAAACAAGTCACAGTGACGCAATTTTCACAAAAAATATATCATATGTACGAAAAAAAAAATAATTTTATAATGCATTACCATATTTTATTGGAATTACAATTGATAATAGTATATTTTTAATAGTGGTAGCAACTGCTTTTATTTTGTTATTTTCATTAATTATAATTTATAAATACCACTAATAACTAGCATTATATATTATAGTTGTAGTATTACTACTACTACATATAATAATTATATAAATCAAGGGACAAAACAAGTCCGAAATTCACCGGACTACAATTATTTAAAATTATTTAATTTATTAAGTTGTACTACTTTCTAATAATATTGTAAAACAGTTTTCCCTTTATTAACTAATTAGTCTACCACAGATTATCAAAGATGAACTATAATGAATAAATGAAAATATCTTTAAGTTAAATTGGAAATAACAACCATTTCCAACAACCCACTTTTTTTTGTGAGAGGGGATGACTCGGGTGACTACTAACAATTTTCTTTTCTTACACCTTCCAGTTGGATTGGCATAACTTTTGTGCGTTTGGGCTAATTTTAATGAAGTAAAGTTATTAAACTGTGTGAATGAATGAAGCAGTATTGAGCTAAACCACTATGTGTTTGAGTTTTACATTAAAAAGTAATAAGCAATTAACGTGCATACCGATGAAAAATTAAATGCGTTACCGGTCACAAGATTCTAAATGCTGCAAATATGGTATTCACATGTTTGGAAAAATATGTGCTCTACGTCACCGATAATTTAAATACTATTAATAGGAAACAGTGACGTACAACGCAAAAAAACGACACCCTCGCTATGCCGTATAGCTATATTGCAGCTCAAGTTTTTCTGTGATTTTTCGACTGCGCAGAAGGGATGCACGTGCGTCTTTTAAAATACCTACCCTAACCAATTGTATTTCTCGGTGCATTCACTGCTAGCTGTAGAATGCAAATGCAAGTTAAAACTTTATAATTTTTTTTTATCTGAAAAAGCTACTGGAATATTTGTATTTTCAACCCAGTCTCTTAAAATCGTAATTCTGACTGGTCTTGGCAAACAATCCTAAAAGACATCTCAAAATTGTACATTGTACGCCAAAATCATAAGAGTAAAAAGGTCTGGGTTCAGTTATTATTATGTAAAACTAAAATGTGGAAGACTTACAACAAGCTCTTAAAGCCTTGGCTATAGAACTCAAAATAACTGTAGCATCCCGCCTTTGATCAATCTGAAAAATGTCAAATGTTGAAAAGGAGAAAACTCAAATAAACATAGGGGTTTACTGAAGATCTATAATGTTTTAGATTGATCTATCTTCTAACAGACAAACAAAATTCCTGGCTTACATTATAGAGCAGGGTCACATCTTAAATGAATAATAAATAAGAATTATAAAGTAAAAAAAAAAAAAAAATTATATATAAATTATTTAAACTCTGAAGCTTACGTCATTTTCTGAAATCATAAGACACATGTCAACATCACTGGTTTTAGTTGCAAATCCTGTCATTGATGAGCCCACAATAAATAGTCTGCAATCTAAAAATAAACCATTTAAAGCATCATATATAAATATATAATTACAGGTTTCACAATATACAGATTTTTTTTTAATATAAAAGGGATAAAAATAAAAGTCTTGATATAGTATACTTCTATACTTCATTAGACTGTCAAGAGTGTCCACTGAGCAAATACCTTCGACTAATCAATCTCAATTCTTTACAGTTACATTGACAGTTATAAATAGATTTCCTATTTTTTAAAAAAGTAATAAAAAAAAGCCCCAGTTGAATGGCAACTCATGATTTTAGAGTTGAAATGGGTAGAATGACTTTGACTTGGTATGCTTGTAATTGTTTTTGTAGTGTTGCGTTTCTTTAAAATGTGATAAATTATAGTTTTTTTTGTTGCTTGTTTTTGACATTGTACCGCACTTTGAGCATTTGGGGATAAAGCGTGCTTTTGAAATAAATTTTATTATTATTATTATTATTTTAATTAGTGGTGGTGCTGCTTCAGAAAATCGTATGCATATTTTTAATATTGCGCAAAACGATATGCATACACATAGAAAAAGAAAACTTATATAATGTATGTATGTGTATTTAAATATAAAATTAAATGAATCATCAACAGTTTATCACACTTGTATACTCTAATACCATACACCACAGAGGCCACACACTGATGCAAAACGTAAACACAGCCTCTCATGCAGATAAGAAGATAAGAACTGCATGAACGACAGTGCTTCTCTCCCTTTTGTGGGCCTGCTTCTACCCTCTAACATGTACACATGTGGAACAACCTAACACTGCATCATTTGAACCATCTAGAAAACAGTTCCATGCAAGCATTTTTAAAGTTTTTTGCACAGTTGAGATGAATGGCAATGACCACTAACATTGTGAATTATTAATCATGGTATTAAAAGTTTTGTATTAAGTATTAAAGAAAGAAAGAAGGAAAACAAATCAGCATGTTAATAAGTTTTCATTGAAAATAGGGGGTGTTGAAGTTCTAAAGTGCTATACACAAGCCGCCACTGCCCCAGTCCTTTAATTAACTTCAAGTCAAGGATTTGTTTGTCTTCAACAGTTTTCCTAAAGTATTTCTTTCAGAGCACTGTTGAATTCAGTAACAAAAGAGTTCTAAAAGTGACTTAAGAACTCAAAGAAATTTTAAATATGAGTTCATAAGAACAATGTTTGGTTCATCTTCGTTTACCTTAATTATTCTTAATAAATTATTTTATAAATATGATGTAAAATATATATTTGAATAATCCAAATAACTTACATAATTCTGTTTACAAATAAACTTGATTTTCATAAAATTGACAACTTATAGCCAATGATTGCATGACTTTATATATATAATGTGTATAAGACGACAAGAGCCTGATAGTAAAATGTGTAAATAAATATGAAACTGAACATTTTATTTAAGCAAAACAATCAAACATTACTTACTAGGAAATGCTCCAGTCATAACAGATAATATACATTTTCTAAGTTTTAATTTTTTTTTCAAATCTTCCTCATTCATTTGAGAAGCTAAGAAAAATTCCCAGATGTCATGTGTAATCTGAAATCAGAATATTATTTATTAATAACATAATGCATGTTTAACGCTTAGCTGTTTTTGTTTTGTTTATTTGTTGTTGTTTTTTTTGCAAAGTGGGGGGTGTGTGGAATCTAGATCAACAATTGATCCAATAAAAATTCAATTAAGATGAATATATTTTAAATCAACTGACTGTTAAAATGTTCTAAATTAGTTTTACAAAAATGTTTTAAATGGAAGACTTTTCCACAAGTCACCTTTTCAGTCCCTCGAGCCACTGGAATTAAGAAATTTCCTGGCTCTACTGGTAAAGTAAGTGGTGAAATTGAGTTTGATGTCTTCTGCTTCTTTTTTGGTGAGGATTCTGTTCCATTCATTCGACGTCTAAAGAGAAATGATTTAAGATGATTTTTTAAAAATTGCTCTTATGACATTTTAGTCTTGTCTGTCCCTTTACATTGAAATTTTACACACAGTTAATACCTAGTGTATTCACATTTCAGGAATCCTGAATTAACGGATATGCAAAATTTTCATTGGAACCTAACTTATTTGCTTTCAAGATTTTTCAAATATCTGCGAAATTTGCAAAATCCTCAAAAAATCCTGCAAAAGTATTGAGGTTTACTTTTAAAATTAAATTATAACGTTTCATGCTTTTAAGAGTAAAATCAATAAGAATATTTTTAAAATTAAAAATGTTGTTTTTTGTGGGGAGTTAAGGACATACAGCCATTTTTTTAAAAGGATATAGCATTACACTAACTTTTAAATGAAATTAAAGTTCTTTGTAAGCATGATTTTTGTCATATTTAGGGATAAAACTATAGAAATAAGCATTTATTAGCATTTTTAGTGACTTATACAAAACATTCCCAATTCCTCCTGATCTGCGATGGGTTCTGAAACCTAACCTCGTCAATGTTTGAGGTATTACTGTACATACATTTTAAGGCAGACATAACATTACAAGAAATACATTCGTAAAGTTGCATGCTTAATTATAGAGATATTAACTTAAAATACACTGCACTCTCTCAAAATACAAAAAACAGTTTTAAAAACATACTTCTGAGCTGATGATGATCCATTTAAAGCAGCTGAGGTGTTAAGTAAGCGAGTGTGCTGTACAGAGTTGACTGGAAAACATTGGGGCTGTGTTAAATTTTGTTGGAAGTTTGGTCCTGAACTGCTCTGTTGAAAGTTATGTCTGGTGAGATTCTCTAAAGGGATGAAGTCAGGCCACCTTTGTTGCATTCTAGAGTTGCTGTTGGTAGACATTTGAGGCAGATTTACATGAACTGGTTGTTGAAAAAACCTGACACTTGATGCAAAACCTGATAGGTTAGAAAATGGGAACCCAGACCCACGGGGATACATGATGCCTAAAAATGGAAATAAAGGAAACAAAATCTGTTATTGTTTTTTTTTTAAATTAATTAACTTTATTAATTATTTATAAGGTTTTTAAAATGTAAATAGTCTCTTTCTGTAACTAAACATCAACCATTTAAATTAACTAATTGTGTTAGAATTTTTTTTATCTCCTGCCATCTTTGTCATTTATGGCAACATTTTCATGATCTCTTCAGACTCAGAGACTCTTCTGCCCATTATTCATATTCTGTGTTCTTCTTAAACTTAAATCAAATATTCACATCTGGGTCACATCTATTCATTCATTAATTTAAACTATATCATATTTTATTATAGTACTAATAGTAATGCTAGTATAGGTAGTATAGCCAAAAACAACAAGATTGTACTTAGATAATTGAATAAATACTAAACCTTACTTACTAAGTTGAGTTTATATTTATAAGTAAGTTACTGAACTCTGGTAATGTGAAAATGGCTGTGTGTATAACTTATAACACAGTAAGTTGTGTAAGACTAATATTACTAGTAAGAGTACTTAATCACTGAGTCAGTCAGTCTGAGTTTCCTCAGTTTCAAATGACACTGACAGACTAACAACTTTCTGTACTTTATTTTAACTTTCAACTTAAATTAAACTGTCTTTCTTTAACTTTAACCAACTACTAATTTAATTACACATGAACATGACTTATGCTCAGTTCACAAGATCAAATTTTCTCCAATATTGGTCTAATTTCTTTTTGAACGCACAAAAATAGTAAAACAAAATAGTGCGTTCAAAAAGAAATTTGCAGAGGATTCGATCGTGTGAACTAACTCACACTAACTGGGCTTACTTACTACTTACTGTGACTTACACTTACTCTGCTGAGCTGGGACTGGCTGACTGGGGGATTACACTTCGTCGCAACTAATTTTACTAATACTTGATTCAAGAATTAGACCAGGCATAATTTTAATTTATTGTGATTTTAATAGCTTACTTCAAGGTTTAACTGCAGACACCTCAAAAAACAAACATATTTTCATTGTTTCGATTTCAAAATGTGAAACTTGATTGAATCTTGACGATGGACATGTTCATAAGAAGGTAATAAAGATAACTTGAGTAAAGCACTACTGACTACTTGTTCGATTATTTTAGCCTGTTACTATGGTTTCTAAAAATTGTGGGAACCTCAACTTTTAACGAAATGAAATTGTCAGTTAACTGAAACGTTCTTCTTAATCAATCTTCTCTTAATTTAGTCTTAATGATTCAATCAGTTTGGAAAATTTTGCAAGTAGTAGTAAATTTGGGTAACTTACTTAGTAAGTCGCTATACGTTAATATACTTATCATAAGCCTTATGCTTATTATACTATTAAAAAAAAAACACACAAAAAACCCGATCGCCAACTAAGACAAGTGTCAAGTAGTAGTAGTAGTCCTAAGTAGTCATTGATTTTTCTCTGATCCAGGTTTTACAGGTCTTCCATGGTTCCGTCTTTTATTTGGTTGCCCAGCTGATTGCTGTTCTTGAAAATTATCTTTGGTGCCACACTTTTGATATGAAGTAGTGTGCCTTCATTGTTCATGGGTTCTAGATTCCTTGTCACTCTTTGATGTAATAGTAATAGTGGTCATCCATCACTAAAACTAAAAGTATAATAGAGGATATGCTCAAAACAGATTTTAAAGATACTGGTCTTTGATGGGAATTCTCAGATTGGTTTATCTCCAAAGGATGTGAACATTCTGATAGTTTATTGCCATATGTATGTAATTTGCATTTACAGCTTCATCCGAATTTTCTAACTCAAAATGTTTATAAACTTTACAAGACCCTTTTTTTCTGAAGTGATGTTAACAGTATAGAAAGAAGCCCACCTCACAGCTATGCTTTCTGACCATCATGTTTATTTTTATTGGGATCTGAAAGTTTAACTGCATAATTTCATAGAGGTGAATTGAGCATCGAACAAACTTTGATTTTGTAAAAATTGACTTCTCGCTGTTTACTAAATTTCTGCCTTTAAATTAATATCTGGAAACATTCCATTTTATGCACACAAAAAAACTGTATGTGTATTTATTCTTGTATTTTGTGCTTATTTGTGTATCATCACATATCATTTAATTCATTAAATTGATAAAATTGTGGGGTTGGGGGCCATGTTCATTCTTTGCCCCACACACAGTTTTTTCTGTTGCAAGGCCCTATCAATTGGTACACAAGACCAGCCTAAAAGTGCCAAAGAAAATCGGATTAAGATTTAGGGTGAATTTATTTTAAATTGCCTTAATGTTCCCAAAGTGTTTGGTCCATCTAAGTTAAATACAAAAGCATCTGGTCCTGTAATAGAAAAGCTTGCCACATTGTAATTGCATTTCATTTGTATGTCTTAAATATTTAATTATTCTTTCTTTTAGTATTTGGAAGACTGTTATATTCAAATGGAATCTAAAAATATAATGAAAGAGGCTCATCAAGTTGCAGAAACAGTAACTAGAGAACTTTCAGAGGAAGAATTATCTAAGCTGTTAGCAGACACAGACTGTATAGTGGAATTTAAACAAAATAAATTGGAAGCTGAGGCACAGAAAAACTGGGATTTATTCTATAAAAGGAATACAACAAAATTTTTTAAAGATCGACATTGGACAAAAAGAGAGTTTGAAGAGCTAGCCTGTACAACTGGGGTTTGTATAACTAGAATAATGGATTGAATATTTTACTGAATTATAAGTTAGTTCATAAACATTTCCAATCAAAAATAATAGGTGGCTATTTTTCAAAACTCTTCAAACATATTTTTTGCTATTTTTGACAGAATCTGAAAGATCGTCTAATTCTGTTTGAAGTTGGGTGTGGTGTAGGAAACTTTATGTTCCCTTTGCTGGAGGATAACCCAAATCTGTATATCTATGCTTGTGATTTTTCTCCAAGAGCAGTAGAATTTGTTAAGGTAAACTAAACATTTTTTTAATGAACTTTTCATGATATAATTCTAATCACCTGGAATTAAGAAGAATTTCCCCTAACAATTTTTTTGATAATCATTCCTTTTTTGTTTAAGAAAGATTGATTTATAGGGACTTTCAATAACCTAAACTATATCATATTTATTATATTATGAGCTTAACAGATTTAATCGATTTCTTTAAATATTTTTTAAAAATTCTGCTAACATTAATTTAAAAATTTGAAAGAGAGCTTTAAAACAATTTAATTTTCTTGGTTTTATTTTTTCATTTGGATTTAGTCACACTCTCTCTTTGATGCACACCGATGCACAGTCTTCGAATGTGATATCCTCAAAAATGATGTAACCTGCAATGTTCAAAGGGAGTCTGTAGATATAGCTACTTTGATTTTTGTGTTGTCTGCAATCCACCCAGACAAAATGGTTGAAGCAGTTCAAAATGTTTCCAAGGTTCATCTGATTTTTATTCATGACTCGTTTTAGCTGCTTAAGTCATAGTTTTATTTTTATGAATGTTTAAACATTTTCATATCTTTGACACTAAAACAAGGCCCACAATTTATAATGTAAAACTAGATTAATTTTTAAAGGAAGCAACCACACCTTAATTTTTAAAGGAAGCAAGCACACCATCATAGAAAGTAGTTATTTTTAAAAAATCAAGTCAAATAGTAACAACATGCTCAAATCAAATTATTTTTGTTATTAACTGCTAATATTTTTATGGAAATGTAGACCCTGAAACCAGGTGGACAGCTTTTGGTTAGAGACTATGGGTTGTATGACCATGCTATGTTGAGGTTCTCAAAAGGTCACAAGCTAGCTGAATGTTTTTATGTCCGTCAGGATGGCACAAGGGCTTACTACTTCTCATTAGGTGTGCTGTATGCTATAATTTATTACATTTTTTTTACTTGTTAGTTATGATGCTATTGAAGAAAGTAGATTCAAAGAAATTATCATTTCATGAAATATAAGTTTTACTTTAAGAAGAAGAAAAAAAACAACTAGACCTCTAGCTGTAACTAATTTTGATTTTTTGGTGCAATCTTTTAGTGCCAATTTTCTTTTCATCAAATGATTCTGTGACGAAGACCTTCAAAAAAAAAAGACAACTTTAAATTTGTATTGTCCACATGCACTCATTTGATTTATTTATTTATTTTTTACAGAAAAATTTGATGCAATCATGGAAGAAGCAGGATTACAAAAAACTAGCAGTACCTACATCCAAAGATCTACAATAAATAAGAAAGAAGGTATAGATGTACCAAGAATTTTTGTACAGGGAAAGTTCACTAAACCATCTTGACCAAAGGCTGCCATAGTCAGCCATGTTGCCCACTTAAATTAATCTTAAGTCAACAATAGAAACACATCACCCCCATATCTGAAGGACTTTGGTTTGAAGTATTGTCACAATAAAAGAAATGTTCATGCAGTACCATTTCAGTTTTAATGAAGAGTTTGTTACTTGTACATGGACTAGATATTAAAAAAATATATTTTTTTAAATTGACTCTAAACTTTAAATATTTTGATTAATTTGTTTTTTGTGTTTTTGTTTTGCAAGTTTAAAATGCTGTAGATAAATTTATAAAAGTGAATGGAAATTATTATTACAAATTTTTAATAAAACTTAATAAATATTGCACTATAAAAATATTTGAAATCTCCCTATGGCCTATGTTACATGCAAGGCATTCAATGCCTGATGTTATTTTTGTTGCTTACTGTTTAAATTTAAAGGGTGGTCAAGATCTATGTAAACATTGTTGTAAAGTTGTTTTATTAGCTGTAATAATATATAATTTTATTTATTGGAACATTTTTCCTTAAAAAAAAAAGGCATCTGTCCTACAAACACTTTAAGCGTCAATGTTGTATTTGAAAATACATTTCGCACAACTCACCCTTGCATAAGGCAGGACATCATAAACCATGTGATGTGAATGCCAGTCTTTAAATAGGACATTCAATATCCCTTGACCAGAGGAGAACCTAAGATTGTTGCTTTGACCATCAAGCCAGGAACAATATGGTATCTAATTGTGAAGGCAAACACTCACAAGTGACTGAGACAGGTTTTGGGAATATTGCCACGGATGTGTTAGACTAAATGATTTTACAGAAAGACAATGACAATGTTTGTGGATCTAATTCTAATATGTATGGCACAATTATTTGAAACTTAAATTATTGAATAATTTAAATCAATTTCACAGAAACTGTATATTTTCTGCTCATCACTTTCACTACCAGTGTACTACCAGGTAATGAAAAAGAGTTAATATCTTTAAGATTTAATTTTAAAAAATGCTCCTTTTTATTTTAAATTAAAAGCATCATATAATCAAACAACATAAGTGAAAAGAGTATTACACAAAATCTTTAAAAATGTTTATACAAATGTTATCATGTCATTTATTTGTACACTATAAATACTATATTTTTTAAACTAATAGATGAATTAAGTACTGTATTTATTTTCTTCAAATGACTAAGTCCTAGAATTTACCTAAAAACTCCTTAACATTATAAACAACACTCTGTGACCCCTTTAATTAACATGCATTTCATTTAGAAAGTAAAAATTATGATACTGTATATTTACAATAAAGCTAAGTTCACATGTAAAGAAAATGAAGCCAAACCTTCATTGATCTGTTTTACATTAAACACATCTTCTAACAGAAATAGAGACAAATATTGCTGTATCAATTTATTTACCGTTGAATATCTATTTTTAACACAAGTTTATAACATTTTAAACATATCAGTAACAGTACGAAAATGTAATAGTGGAGGCCTAAAACTGAATATATTGATGCAGACCCAACTGTGTCATTAAAAGTTGACAAAAAGTGGATGTGATTTTTTGGGAGGCTCTTTTAAAAGTAAGACTTTTCATGCCGAGTTGAAGTTTAAAAAAACCTGAATAACATGGCAGGATTATTCCATTTTATCAAATTTTGTAAGTTGAAATAGTTTAGAAGTGTATATCACCTATTCAAATTGGTTGAATTTTATCTAATTAGGTCAGAAAGCAACTTTAAAGCTCCATCTTCAAGTTACATGGTGTTAATTAAGTAGAAAATTAGCACACTGGATGCATTGAAAATATTTACTATTTACGGATCTGATCAGGCAGCATTGTTAAACATCATTAATGCTTTTGCAGCCCAAATACCTTATGGTATAATAATTTATTTATCATTCAAACCTAAATACTCCTAAACAAAAAGGAAATACAACACACTTTAAAACATCATGCACTGGCCAGATTTTTCTCATAATCATACAAAAATAATTTGAATCATAATTACAAAAAAGTATTTTTTGTCAATTTGACCAACAATTTACAAATCTGTCCATAATTCCTTTTAATTTATCCTAAAACTGATGAATTTCTCAACCACCAAATCACCCCTGTACCAACTTGACCTATACAATGGACGGATATGATAAGTAGTTATTGGTAAATCCAAGTGAGAGTCAATGCTTTGCTATAGTTTGTACATATGCAGCCAAACCCAAATTTAATTGATCAAATGAACAGGTAAAACATTAACTATAATTTATTGAGAATTCAGGATAAACTTCTCACTTAAAATATCTATTTTTAATAAAATGTTTGCTGGAAAAGAAAAGAAGTTCCCTAACTTAAACTTGCTTCTATAGGAAAGCTCAGACAAAAGGTAAGAAGAAAAAAACATTGTCCTTAATGTTGTGCATGATTATAATTTTTAAAGTAAAAGTAAAAGACCTAAAGTTAAAATAAAAAAAATATTCTGATCATGGACTTAATGATGAATTATAATTTTTTTACATATATTTTTGACCTGTGATTACTTTCTTGTTGTACAAAATTGAGAACCAATAGAAATGCCAGAGTTTTTGCTCTTTTATTTTTGTTTAAGTTTAAATGGCAGTTCTGTTTGGTTTCAACACTTAATATGAACATATTATATCTTGATCTGTAATTTATTATTAGCCTGCACGAAGCACTTAAATCTCTGTTTTCTAGTTGAAGATCTTCCCATAATGCAATTAGTACATTTAATTTAAACAGAGCAAAAATAATTATAAAAAATAAGATTTAATAATGGGTCAAACCCAATAGCACAAGCAATGTGTAAATACTGTTGAGGATGCTCCCTTGAGCTAAAAGTTCAAAAACAATATCAAATGTTGTCATCATGTCCACTGGTAATCATCACTATTTATAATGCTACACTTTGCTAAGCAAGAATATCTCACTCGGACTTGATGGAGAAATTAACTCAATTTGACTTTTTAAAATAGTCAATCTGAGATGACTCCCTTGAATGCCTGTATTATATACCGGTACTCCAAGTTCCAGAGCACTGACATCCATGATTGAATTTGAATTAGATAAATTATAAAACGGCCTCTTGAAGTGGCTCCAATGCTTTGTTGTTGATTTAATCCACTCCATTAAACTTTATGGATGTCAATTTTAGCCCAAGTAACAGATGTCTCATTGGAAGTACATGAAACTAGTGGCAACTTACTACCATGGTAATTTCTCAACTATACTCTGGGTTGTATTCACTGTTCATATCATGCACAACCAGCAGATTAGGACTGCTCTCCCTTGGGTTACTATACGTTGTGCTTCCACTGCTGGTACGAGAGTTATTGCCGCTACGACTGGCCCATTTGTCATTTACTTCAGGGGAAATATAGATTTCTTTGACAGCAGTTTCTTTTTTTCCGCGCTTTGCTTGAATTTTTCGCTTGAAGAAATTGACGAGACGTGGAGCACCTCGACTTATCTGAAAAAGATAGGGAAACATTACATGTGCGGTCCTTGGTGCCTAATTATTTTATGTTTCATTTAATTATTATTATTTTTTTTTAATAATTTTTTTTTGGTTTAGTAATAATAATAAAGATGAAAATCAGTATTAAGTTAGCTCTCCTGTAACTTTAAAAAATCTGATAAAATGAAACAATAACGCCCTGAACTCCGATCTATGAATAAATTAGAAGGTCGTTGCAACTGAAAAATGCACGACGTAGAAATACAATAGCCAGTTGGGGAGCGGAGTGGGGGTGGGGGGGGGGGGGGCGGCTCATACCGGATGGGGGGGTTTAACAATGATCTTCATTTTATTGAACAGCCTGGCTCTCTTTTAAGTGATCGTTTGTTCCATTTTCCACTGAAAAATGCACGACGTAGAAATACAATAGCCAGTTGGGGAGCGGAGTGGGGGTGGGGGGGGGGGGCTGCTCATACCGGATAGGAGTGTTTAATCATGATCTTCATTTTATTGAACAGCCTGGCTCTCTTTTAAGTGATCGTTTGATACATTTTCCATCAACATGACGGTAGAAACAAAGTTATCACTACCGCATCGTTATGGTTAATGGATGTTGTCAATGACATCAGAGATGAATGAAGAGCGGTTTTTACTTTAAGTATTTTTATTTTACAAATTGGGGCGTGGTGACGAAATGCTTTAAGTCAAACAAAAGTGTCACATGCAGGCCTACTAGACGCATAGATATGATTGTATTAAAAGACTAATTTGTCACATGCAGGTCTACTAGACGCATAGATATGATTGTATTAAAAGACTAATTTGTGAACAAGAACGTAATACCTCGGGTGAAGCATCCCTGGCTTGTTTACGGGAGCTTTTCTTGTCCATGGCTGAATCTGAGGATGCCGATAACGTCCTCGGGGAGCTTGAGCCACCAACAGAGTTGATGCTGCTAGTACTGCTGGACAAGTGCGTTGTCAAAAATAAGCTGAGATTATCTCTCCTCGTAATCCGATTACCGTCCTCCCCGAAGCCTGCGCCTGCGATGGTGAGTTTTGTGTCTCCCTGCATCGAAGTCCTTGGTGGCAGTTTACCTACTGCGCCATTCGCAGGGCTTGGCTCAGAGTCAGCGTCGTCCAGGGATTGAACCTGCAGGGGGGCGTTGATACGTCCAGTGGCACCCTGGAGCTGCGAGAAAAGAAATGTGACAAATTATTTTAGAAAATATTTTTTTTTCTTTCTATAGAAGTTTTGAAAATGAAATATATATCGTGGCTTAATACAGCTGAGATTCGATTAATCAAAGATGTTTTTTTTTTTTTTAAAGTCATATGAAACGTCACTGTCAAAGCTCTTTAACACAATGAAGCATATAATGCCACGTTCATTCAGCTTCAGGTTTTAATATGTAGGTGAGAAACAAGCACACACTATTTTAATAAGCATGCTTGTGGTTTTATAAAAGCTGTAATGAAAATGGGAAAGAGAATTGTAATTTTCAAGTTGGTAAATTATAATGTCATCGTGACATTTCAAAACATAAACGAAGGTGCATATGTGAAAGATGAAGAATAAAGTTATCACATTGGTTTAACAATATTTTCTGACATAAGTGGTAATAAATCATGTCAGGATGAAGTTTTCCAAGTAAACAATGTCATTAATTATTTTCTTACGGTCTTTCATTGAAAAAAAAAAGAATTAAAGTGTGCGCAGCAAATGCATAAATACATAGAGAGAGAGGGGTGGGGGGGGGAAATAGAGAGCGAGAGAGAGAGAGAAAGAAATATATATATAATATATATAAATATATATATATATATATATATATATATATATATATAAAAAAAAACTAAATAAAAATAAAAAAAAGAGAGAGAGAGAGAGAGAGAAAAAAATATATATATAATATATATAAATATATATATATATATATATATATATATATATATATATATAAACAAAAACTAAATAAGAATAATAGTATGGGTGAGTTTAAAGATGAACAATAAATATAAGATGGAACATTTGATGACAAATCTTTTAA